ACTATCAGTTCTTTGTTTTTACACTGTGTGTTCCCTTTCTTTTTTTATTCACATGGCCTATTTTGAGGGGGGTACCAGTCATGAGAATGGAATTTTGTGATAGCATATAAACTATATGTTTGTGTTGCAGCACATACACAATTACTAAATAATAATATGGTCATAAAATGTTTTACTCAAAAGTAATTTATTATATCAATTTAATTTATGAATTTTTTTGCAGATTTATCAATACAGGAATAGTGGTACTTTGCATATGAATCTTATGCAGGTCTGTAAATCAATGTTACCTCAAAAATAAATTTAAAAAATAGAAAACAGAATAGCCTAAGGCTAATCAACAGAGACTTAAAGTTGCTTCTTTATTAATTTAACTAACAGAAGATTTTTTAAAAATTTTATTTATTTATGCATACCGTATTGGGGTATAGACCAGAGGTAAAGGGACAGTGAGAGGCTTCACCAGAGACAGATTAGGGAGCAGAGCTGGCAGATTGGTGAAGTACTCTGTTGAGGGGAGCAGCGGGAGGATCAGGAGAGGTCTGCTGTGCCATGTGGGTCACCTCCAGGGCAGGGATCGAACTAACATTGAAGCAGCTGTGGTGAGCTTCACAGCTGAGCTTTAACCAATTGTACCACCAGGGAGGGACTAACCAACAGAAAGACTTTTGGAGAGAGATGAAAAGATTTTTTTTTCACTTTCTTTCATTTTAATATAATATAATTCAATTTATGCACTAATATTTTAGCTTGAACTCTGTTCTAGATCGTATGCATTCTCAGTTTGAGATTTATTTTAAATATTACTGAATGAACTTGAACCAGGGAACATAGTGTGTTTTAGTAAAAGTGTAATGAAAGCTTTATTCCTATTAACATGCTTTATTGCAATGCCTTAAGGTGTTCTGCAATACTACAAGAATTAGAAGGTATTTAAAGATTCTGTTTACTTCTTGGAAGATTGAAGTAAAACTTTTTTAATGGGGTTAATTTAAAATACATATATATATATATATTCACAGAAGAACTAGAGGGTAGGTCAGAAGTGGGGGTTGGGGGTGGGAGGTACTAAGAGGATTCACCAGAGAGAGTGGGAAGTAGAACACCAGATCTACTGAAATACATTGCTGACGGGAGAAGCAGGCAAGACAGTAGTCATTACATAATGAGAGCAAAGTATGAAAATTAGAATTTTTAATATCATTAGATACCTTATTTTTCCAAACCCTCCTCCTAATGGCCATTTTAATTAGAAATATTTAACATCATTTTTTTTTTTTTTTCTAAATCTTCTGCTGCGCCATGTGGGTCAGCTCCCTGGCCAGGAATCAGACTCATGCTGTTGTGGCCGCTGATAGTTTGACAGCTCTGAGACTTAACCCCTGCACCACCAGGAAGGCCTCATGAGGTGTAACAGTTTTCTTACTTGAAATAAAAATGTCATACTTAGCTGGTAGGTAGACAAATGAACACAGAGGTGGTTTTCTCAGGACGAGGCTGCCTATCACACCCCAGTGTGCTTATATCTGCAATTTCTCCAAATGTGGGCAACTCTACTGTGTAATTTGTGGTAGTGGGGGGCTGTGCTCTTCCCTGGTTAAAAAATAAACACAACAAAGTAATTAAGAATAAGACACTGTCTGACATTTTTGACTGTACAACTACAACTATAATTTTCCTAATATATAGGCCTTAAAATGTAATTTATTGATCAATTTATAATGAACATCATCACTGAACAATGATAGTCCCTATATGAAGTTAACTTATGTAAATTAAAGACTTCACAGGTTTTCAAAGTCATTACATAATGAGAGCAAAGTATGAAAATTAGAAATTTTAATATCATTAGGTACCTTATTTTTCCAAACCCTCCTCCTAATGGCCATTTTAATTAGAAATATTTAACATCATTTTTTTTTTCTAAATGAAACAAAGGTCTCTTTTCACTACTCATCATCATTTCCTTGGAGCTAACTTGAAGCATGTGAAATGAAGGGGTGGCTTCTGGGTGCCTATCAGATATTTCATTCCTGTCCATATTTTTCTGAACATGACTTCTGGTATTAGAAAACTGTTTAATTTTGTTCTGACATTTGTGTCCAAATGAGTTCTTTGGTGGTGCTAGAGGTCAAGAATGATCACAAGAAACTGGAAGCTAAATCACTAGAGTAATGATTAAAGTATGACCTTAAGTTTTAGTTCTCCAGGTTTTTCCTAATAGGTAGGTATTAAAATGTATCTAAAGATGTCAATTAGAGCAAATCTAGCCTTTGGGAAATTTATTAAACTAAAGGATTATGTGTTTTCTTCCTATACCTTTAATGCGTGAAATGTAGTAATGTACCTCATCACCAATATTACCATGAAAATATGGTCATGATTAATGGGTGGAATGATAGTTTGCACTGAATGAAAAATTAACCAACTATTTTAATATAAATTAACTAATTAATTTCAAGCTCAATTTCACTTCATTGCAATGAATATAAGTTATTTATGACACCCATCATCAAATCACTATAAAATTGTTAAGAACTGTCTGACATTTAAAGCTCCTACTTCTTTCAACTTTTGTCTTTTCTGTAAACTCTCTTACAAAGAACATTTAATCCAAGTTCAAAAGTACATATTATTTAAGTAATAGTTTGCAAATCTCTGTGAGCTTTAATTTCCATTTAAGGCAGTGAACTTATATCAAATTTTATAGTACTGGTACTATCAATAATGTGAGCTCTTGGCAAATATTTGTTCATTACTTGGCAATGTATTCATGTGCTATCAACAGAAGGGAGATTGATCAAGCTTCAGTTTTAGAATTTATCTTTTGGTAGAGAAGTGTAATTTTTTAAAAAATATTTATTTATTTATGCTTACAGAACTGGGGTACAGGCAAGAGGTGTGGTGGGTGAGAGGATTCACCAGAGACAGAGTGGGGAGCAGAACAGGCAGATCTACGAAGTACACTGCTGAGGGGAGCAGTGGGCGGGTCAGGAGAGGTCTGCTGCGCCATGTGGGTCAGCTTCCTGGCTGGTGGGGGATTGGACTCATGCCGCAGAGGTTTCGGAAGCTTCATAATGCCGTGCTTTAACGCCATTGCACCACCAAGGAGAGCTCTGAATGTAATTATTAACAATGGTTTCACTCACAGCAGGAGTGTAAGGGATTAGGGGATTGAGAGGAAGAGAGGGGAGAGAGAGAGGGAGAGAGGCAAATGTAATAAAGTAAAAGTGAGAACAACAAACAGCTAGCTATAAACGAGAGGCATGGTATGGGGTGGAAAGGGAATGGATAAAAAAATGGGGTAGGAAGAGAGCAAGGGACTATGATGGCACATGGGTGCATTGGTGGTGGGGAACCCACAGGGACTACTACTGAGATGGAAAATGTACAAAATGAAGAATGATGTAAAAAAAAATAATTTAAAAAGTGAAAGTAATAAAAATACGGTATTTAACCTTATATGCTATGATATTGCTGTTTTGCAATATAACAAATGCAATGTTGCATGTATCTACCTTTCTTCCATTTCTGTCTATATGTAATAAAAATTATGGAAAAGTATTGTTTAGATACATGGTTTAGTTTTCATGGTAGATCTCAGAAATATGTTGTCATTTTGGGGGAGACTTTCAACATAGTAATACCATCTATGAACAAAATGCAGTTTTATTCTTTACCAAAAAAAAAAAAAAGTAAGTTTTACTTGTCTACCAAAAAAAAAAGTAAGTTTTACTTGTCTACTAGTTAAAGGCATTTATATATTATATGAAGGATACATTGTAGAAGCTGTCTGCACAGATGATGTAGTTCTTCACAAAGGGATTTATGTTCACTTGTGTTACTTAACTATGAGCCCTACATGTGATACTTTTTTTTTTAATAATATATTTTTTGAACTGTGGTAACATAAGGTCTCTCCCCATGTGATTCTCAATTTGAGGGTTCCCTAAGGATTCATATTTATAATTAAAACTCCAAACTTGGGATATGGTAGAACTGTGGATAATCTTATTAAAAAGAAATGTTCTTTCTCCTTGTGTAGGGTTGGAGAGGCAACTTTTGTGGCCATAGCTCTTTTGCCATGCAGGATATCTTCTTACTTTAAAAATGAATTGTTGTCTGGTCCAGTCCATCTGGTTTTCTACATAATTGTTTTTAAGCATATCACTTAAATTATAACAGTTTTAATGATTTTATAAAATTCTAACATACTTAGCTATTTCATTTAAAACATGACATCAAGGCCTCTCTGGTGGCCTAAGGGTTATAACTCAATGCTGTCAACACAACTGCCTGAGTTCACTATCCAGCCAGGGAGCTGGTAAGAGTTTGTTTATTTTTATGACCAGTAAATTTCATTATTGCTTGATTAAGTTCTGTTGGGCTGTTTTTTTTTTTTTAAAGATTTATTTATTTGTACATACAGAACTGGGGAACAGGCCAGAGACTCAGGGGCAGTGAGAGACTTCACCAGAGACAGAGTGGGGAGCAGAACAGGCAGATCAACGAAGTACACTGCTGAGGGGAGCAGTGGGCGGGTCAGGAGAGGT